GACCTTAGTAGGCGGAGCCTAGCTCAGATCACGTGTGCCTAAGGAGTTCGGCTCATTCCCCACATGTTCATCCCCAATCCCCACTTGTTCCAGCCTTTTTGAGCTGTTCCATTTGATTTACAAACGTTGTCGTATATCTTATCTTACAGTGAAACAGACATACAAACATACAAAAAAAAACGGACATTTGTGGTTTATATATAGTAAGGATATTACTCCAACAAAACTTATCGGCCACCAATAATCTGAGATTCTAAACTAATGATATGACGCTAATGATATATCTTCGAAGAAGAAAGTTTCATTGGTACCGACAACTGATAATGGGTATTATCACATTAACGTAATGGGGTCATCCTTTTCCTTTGTCAGCAGCAATCAAAGTTTTGGCTGCCTTGCAAATCCTCGATGGATGGCTATTTTCAAGATGAAGAGCAGCAGCAGGGACGCTGAGTGCCATTTCCACTGCCCCGTTAATCTTAGGCGTTTTTTGCTCAGAACATATCATTTGTTCAAACGAGAGAGTGGCAGATTGGCCGATTTTGAAAACTTAGTCACAAGAAGGGCACTTTCTGCTGGAATATTGAAAAACGACATTCAGGTGTGCAGCAGAAAAGCTTGGCGAGAAGGTACCAATTGAATACGGTGAATTCACTCGTCTCAGGGATGGAAAGGTGATTAAAAAGAGAACCAAATTTACTTCTTGCTCTTTTTACTTCTTTTCCCTTTTTTTCTTTTCCTTTTGACTTTGTTGAGTTCTTTTGAAATCTTGTTGTATATTAGACCTGTCCTTCTCGATCACTGCTACGGCTTCTGACTTCTCGCAGTCTTCTAGTGGAGCCAGATGAGGGAATCTTAGAAAGCAACTATAGTCAGGCTAGCCAATTCACATCCTCAACGATTGCCTTCGCCCTTCCTCAGCAATCAACCTATCACGATCAGATAGTTGATTTTTCGGCCATTGACGATCCTATCAGCTGAAATATGGGCTTTTGCTAACATATAAGTATATGTAAAGGAAAAAAGTTATAAGAACATCTACTATGGAAATGGAGAGCCACAGTGGCGTCGAAAAACAAGCCGCTCGGATTGGAGTAGAGTAGCTCAGCGGGGGAACATTTCTGTTCGTATCTAATGCACATGGTATAGCTCCCACCATGAAGGATCTCAGTTTTAATCAAAAAACGAGTTATCCTTCTTTCGTTTTTTGCTGTAACTGAGATGAAAAAATCCACGAAAGTCCTACAAATCACTTCACATTTCGTTCAGTGGTATTTTGAAAATCTAAAATTCCCTCATTCTGAAACGGGAAAGTCCACTCGTTCTGAAAGTGTATTGTGCCTGGCATCGAGTTTGAGCGGATGTAGCGTAGTTTCAATTGGCTCACCATCAGGCCCGCATCTGCCAACACTTCAATGGGAAATTATATTTATCCTCTGCTTTCGAATATTCACACATCGACATTAACGTTAAACGAACAGAATTATCCCATAAGCACATGAAAGCCGTCAACTGCACCTTTCACCGTTGGTCATTCGGCTGGGAGCACTAGTGGTGAAGAAATGGTCATAATATGGCTGTAACATTGCTTGAGTGCGTGATCTCTCAAAAGCAGATTCTTACCCGCGTTTCCTGGCATCAAACCTCCAGGTATGAGCTTAGTTTTCGTGCTAATATCATACGGGGCAAGAGTGGATATTCAAACCGTGGTTACTCTCACTATCCCACCTTTCCGATAACTTCCAACACGAGCGCCGTTTTCAACTTGGCAACATTGTTTGATTCCTCCTCGACGCTTTCCTCTTTACATAGTCAACAAGGAGTAAGGATTGGTCATACATATGTAGGCGGAGGCGGTGTACATGCAGGTGGTGCACTATCACACAGTCATGGCCACGAATTCGGATCCCGTGTGTAAACTTGCTCAATTCAAGCAAACTTTCTGGCCAGACTCGTCTGGGTGTTAAAAAAAACTAACTTGCATATCGGCAAGGCAGACAAACGCAATTCATTGCATAAGCCACATACGCATCCAAAAATCGGATTGATCGGGATCGTCTAGGCCTGAGCTCTGCAGTTTGAGCTTCAGTTTGGGCTTTGTAGAAATTAGAATGAAAATATCGTTTGATTAAGATTTCATTCTTATTTTCTTCTCTGTCCGGTCTTCCAAACGCGGTACAGAAGCATGCATTTCACGAGGTCTGTGCAGGCTAGGGGACGAAATGTGGACGTGTAGCAAACAAGCAAACCCTAGTGGTGATGACTTGCATCGAAATTCGCCTTGAAACCATTTTCCAACGGGCCTGCCCCATTTGCTCACCAGTCCCTTCTTTTGCCATGCATTGCTCTTGTGTACCTCTCGACCTTGTGCGTGTGCGATACTTGATACGGAACTTTGAATCTTGCCAAAAATGTAGACGAGACGACTGGTGACGAGATACTGCCAGGTGATCCCGATTGATTGCCAGGCGCGGCCTCGTTCGATATCTTTCTCGCGCTTCTAAAACATCCACCATTTGAGCGTCGCGCTGCGGTCCTGCATTGGAGCACGGTTTCATCTCAGTGCACCACGGGTTTGACGGTCGCATGTAAGTCGCGACGTACTCTTTCGTGAAGTGAAAAATGCTTTATAGGTGTTTGAAGCAAAAATCAAGGACAGCAAAGCAAAGCTACATATTGGTAAAGTGCCAGCGACAGCCGCCGGAAGGTACATGTGTGAGGTGCGAACAAGTGAAGGACATCTGCTCAAAGGGTTCCTATCAATGTATTGTACGTTCTTTGGAATTGCTACTATTTTCTTACCCGTTTATTCGCTATTCGCTCACAAAACAGGTCATGAAAGGTTATGCCTTAGATGCTGCCTATTCCCTCAGGGGTGACCTATACATTCGTTATCCGCGAAATACAGTGCAGTCATACAGTCAGCGTCCGCGGTCGTCCGATACCGTTATGACTAGCCCTTCTTAACTGCAACTCCCGAACGAGACAGGTCTATGTACAGCACGTTCAACGTTGCTTTTTACTACATCGGACTTTTTCACAGGGTTTTGACCGACAAGTTCTGGTTTATAAGGCAATGAGATTAAATCCCACGGAAAAGCAATAGTCTGAAGAGAATAGTGATGGCATAATTTACGACAGGCAGGATAAGGAAGCGCAGGGTTCTTGAGAACCTTTGTAAATTTTATGACTCTAGATTTCCTGCTCTACGCGAGCTGAGTTGCACAAGGGAGAAGGTATAGTAGGGTGTTATGCAGTAGGATCGAGTCATCTCACGCGGCGAGAGAGATGCCGCGCGGAGGAAGTAGCAGAATGCAGCAGCAAGTAAGAAATACAGGAACAGAAGAACCAATAGTACAACCTTGCAGAAGTAATAATCGTATAGCGATTGAACCGTATGAAGAACGTTATAACCGTTATAAGAGGCAAATGGTCCGTGTTAGCCGCTTGCGGCGGATCGATCGCACGAAACCGTTCCTACTGGCCGTCTCCCATTATAGAACCAACGCGTCTATAAAGCTGCCCTGCCCTCCGTGGTCACAAAGACGAAAATTCACGACAGATGTTTTTTGTTTTCGCACTGACCCTATAGTGGTTCCTTGAACAAGTGTCTGGTATCGACCTAAAACAAGCATAGGAACCTCTATTGATTCGCTGCGACCTAGGAAATTTTACAATAGTCTGACAGCTCTGCGCCTGTTCCATTTAAACAAAAATAAGGTCACGGTAAGGATTGGATGCTTGTCTTGAACTCTTGTTCCGGTCTTGTTCCGCCGCACTCTAAAAGTGTATATGATGAGACAACGCTACATGTACTCATTTCTAAGGAAAAATTGTATTCTAGGCTGCACATTGCAAAACCAGTCTCATCCTTAGTTTTTGCTGAAACAGTTCAAAGGTAGCTTCCATGAAACCGTGAACTGAAAGCAGTCTTGTATAAATTGTTCGCCAGACTCGCGATACAAGCTAAAGATGCCTTTGAGATAGTAAAAAATAGGGACCACGCCTTATCACGACATGGAACAACCTAAATGAGAGTGTCCTACCCTATATCAGGGCAGAAAGCGTGAGGGGAACGTCCGTTTCGCGCGTCCGTCGAAATTTGGTCGCCCCGCTCGCGGCGCAGCCCAGTACAATACCACTAAGTGTCAGTGGAGCGAATGATTTGCATCTTTACTTCAAGCTAACTGACGTGGACCAAACGCAATTCTTGCGCTCCGCTTACAGCTGCGACATTTTTCGAGAATCGCATGCGACAGCTGCGGCGTGACCGAATTTCGACGGACGCGTGCGAAGCTCAGCCCTATCTCAAATTTGTGAACTCTGCATTGAAGCGGTGAAATACCTCTTCACTTCACTGATTCTTTTTCATTCGATGAGTTTTCAGTAGTCCTAGGATCCAGTCAAAAATTGAACTCTATTGAACAACAAAAGGCTTGAATTAAGGTCCACCCGTCCTGCGCCTCCCGACTGGTTCCATTTTCCACGAGGTGCCCAGTGTTCGTCCACCGAAGGTGATTGGAGCTGTGAAGAAAGCACTTGCGGGAGAACGGCTCGAACTACTGTGTCCCGTGATCGGCTATCCGAAACCGTTTGCTAGATGGGAAAAAGATGGAGCAACTATTGGTTTGTGCTTTAGTTCATCTTACAAATGTTTGCCGTTGACACCTAATACCCATTTTCTCAACGGACGGTAAAATTGGGTTCTAAGATTTCCTGCTTGGATGAATCTGTAAGAATAGTACATGGGACGTTGTCGAGCTGAAAATCGGGTCGGACAGATTGTAATTTTCCAAAACCAGTTGAGCCGCTTATTACTTCACTATTCACGTGATGAGAGGAGATGTATGCTCATGTGAGAGACACCCAGACGGAAGCAGATGGTGAATTCGCCCAATCCTCCTTTTTGCTTCTTTTTCTAATTTTTAGATTCTCGAAGTCCGCAAATTTTCACGTTCTCTTCGCCACCCTTAAACTATTCTGCACCATGACTATTATTTTTCACCCGAGTCAGATACACCAAAATTATCGTGAACTATGCCTTCGACAAGGTGTCCTATAGAAAAAGCCTTTTGAGTGTGACTGAATGCTATCGCTGCTGCTTCCACCCTTTTCCTTCCTAAAGTTTGGGATGGCCAATGAATTCTATTCTCTGCATGTTTCCAATCCGCTACGAAATTACTTTATTGTGGATTTCTCATCTAGAAACCAGCAGGACTGATAATTCAGTGGAATTCAACCATTCCTCTCAGCGTAATTAGCGGTATCGCCTGTATCAACCTGTCGTCTCGTTGATCAACGATTCTTCGAGCAGGCGGCAGCAACAGTCTCTATTTGTTTCATTCGAGAGCCGAAATACTGCAAGAGATCTTCCTCGTATGGAGACTCGGGAACAACCTTCTTCCTCCTTGAGAGCTTTCGTGAAGAAATCGAATCATCGCGCTGGCGGTCGTCTGTTGTTCATTTGACGTCTCGAGGTATCCAGTTAATAACCGCTCCGATCAGCCCATCACAAGGTCGCCTAACTTGTTCGGCACACCTAATCTTCAAGTGGCAAGGCGTAGGCAACGGTGCCTCAGATGCTCATACGTTAATGGAGCTTGAAACTCCGAATTTCTTCCTACTCTTGGGCAGATCGAGATATTTTCAGCATTTATCTCTCCATGGTGTGTTGAATGGTACTGCTTACGTGCACATCTTGTTGTGTAGAGTCCAACAATCTGAGGCGTTTGTCAAGGGAGGACTGCAAAGTTGAAAAGGTTGGCGCGGAGCAGAATGTTATTTGTCTTCTTCACGGCATCCTCCATATCTTAAATGCTCCCTATGCCACGCGTTTTCCACAATTCAGCTCGGAAGCAAAGCCTCTATGTTGAATTTTTTATCCACATAAACGTAGCTAGAACATTCAAAGATACTTGTTCCATTCAGCGTGAAATCCAATATCCTTTCTTATGAACACCATCTTCGTTAGGTAGAGTAGTGAGTCGTTCCTTTTACAAGGTTTCTCGAATCTGGTCAGCACTCTTTGCTCTAGGTTCGGTGTTATAGGCACGATGTCGTTGCAAAGCGAAGATGATGTTGGACCTTTACCACCAAGTTTCCTAGTTCCAAGTGACGAGAGCGGCACTGAAAGGTTGGGGGAAGGGTTCAGCAGGATACTAGTTGGGATGGTGTCCTGCCAAACCCCTATTTTCAGGTTGGCAGTGGTCCCTATGGTTGTCCAACCAGGGAAGGGTTTCAACTTTCCAAGGAACTTTGAGTAGAGACTTCAGATATCGATAGGGCTTGGAAAGTCATCAACAAATATAGAAAGTAAAACTGCAAAATGAGTCTACAAAAAAAGTTGTGAGCGCTCATAGTTTTTCATTAAAGCATGGTGAGATAGTGCCAGTTGATAAGCGCAGCTGGCCGCAATGGCCACAGGGGTCACCGTGGCGTAGGGGCAGTGCTCTCCCTCTCTAGGTGAGCTATAAGGATTTGTCGTTTTCGCGATTGCAAAACGTGCTCTCCTCCGAATAAAAGCTCCTAAACCATTTTTCTTACTAATTCAGGTCAGCGCTCTGTTTCGGCTATCATTTGCTAACGTCTATCTATCACATCTCATCGCACTTACTTCAAAATTTCTTAACGTCATTTTNTTTTGTAACGCTCTTACACTTCCAACACTGGAACATCCAAACCCAAACTCGAAGTGAAATAGTCTTGGACACGCGAGAAAACTCAACATAAATGAAACCAATTAGAAACGAGTGGAGGAAACGAGTATTTTTTGGTCTTAAATCGAATGTGAGTTCTATTTACGGCTGTAGAAAGACAGCATGTACATATGAGTCCCGCATTTTGTTAACAACCCATCTGCTTCACTCATTTCTTGGTTGGTTTCATCAATATTTAGTTTTTCACGTATATCTGTTTTAAGTGATTTAGGATTTATCCTACCTCAAGAAATTTTGAATAAGTGCGGTGACAGGTGACAGACAGGTGATCGCAAATGATGGCCGAACCAAAGCGCTAACTGAAATCAGTGAGAAAAAACGGTTCAGGAGCTTTTATCCGAATGAAAGCACGTTTCACAAAAGCGAAAACGACAACGGAGATAACCCTCATTGCTCACCTGTAGAGGAAAATTCAGCAGACCTTTTTCAAGTTGTAGTGTTTGTAGAGAATGAAAATTTGTTGATGAAGAAAGCGCAAAAATCGGCAAATTTGAGAAACACAACGGGTCTCCAACTGCTCTCGATGAGGCAAATTGATCAGTGTGTCGAAGAGACAACGACGAGGGATATAGGGAACAAGTATGTGGGCCGAGCGCACAAGCTGAAACACTCTTAACGATTGCATCGGGACAAAGCCTAGAAGGTCCAAGAAAGCAGTTGGAGTCACTGCCACTGCGCCACGAGGATCTTTGCGGTCGTTGCGGACAACTGCGCTTATCAACTGGCACTATCTCTCCATGCTTTAGACATGCAAACTTTGAACGCTGACAACATTTTGCGTTAGACTCATTTTGCAGTGTTGATTTCCATATTAGTTAATAACTTTCCAAGCCCTATCGATATGCCTAGGTCACTATTCGAAGTTACATGGGTAGTTGAACCCTTCCCTGGTATGCAAGAACACGAGTAGTTCTGCGGTATGGATTTTTATTCATTCGGAGTCATTATGAGAAGAGAATAGCTTTGTGAGTCTACAGCTTTCGTTGAGGCGACGTGACGCATTCTTCCCTACAGGTCATTTTTGGATAGTTGGTTGAATTCGAGACGACTTCAGAAATTACCTGCCCAAAGTGTGCTTTTTTTGGTGGAACCCATTTGGCGCGCCCGTATAGCAGTCCTCCATAGAAGAATTCCGGAAGTTTGGTATCAAATATGTGAATCAGAGAGAAATGAATATCACTTCAGATGAATTGTGAAATTGTTGATTTTCAAACTTGCTGACGTCTAGGCTGATGCTTCCTGGTATTTCAATTATGAAAAGCAGCACTTTATGGGTCCAATCTTCATCCCGCATTCACACAAACTCGTACTTCGCCATATGACCTCTTCAACAACTTATAAAATGATCCTAATTTCAGAACCATCGCCCTTGATAGAATATGATGGTAACAACCTGATCATAACACAGGCTGAAGCAACGATGAACGGTGTTTATGCATGCATTGCTGACAACTCCTTTCCGATGTTTGTAGATGGACCAGCAATGCCACATCAGCTCATATTCGAACAGAAAGTTATAATCGACTCATGAGAATTTGTGTGATAACAATTTTGTACGATTCTGCAATTTATGAAATATAAGCACTGCACGAACAAATAACAATCCAATTCCAAATTCAATGATATTCCTACCTCAACAATACTATGCATATGTACAAAGTGTCCTAAAATTGTGAACGCCCAATCATTGCAACGAATTTGAAACTTCTAAGCTGAGAATAACAATGAAATCTATAGGAACGTCTGCTTAACTCACTTTAATAACAGCTACAGTCACATTTCCGAATATCTCCCATTGGCACGGATAGGAGCCCGAGGTCCGCTCACGAGCTCCTTGTGTGGCCTACAGGTATTTCTACTTCATTTTCTGTCGGCCGTTCTTAATTCATGCTATCATGACTACAATCTGATAATGCAAACCCGGCAGGTCCTCTTCGGGATCAGTGAAGTCAAGTGAATTAAGGTCTGAGGAGCACGATGGTCATTCCATCTTGCGATCAATCGGGCAGCTAGCGTCGGCTCCACTCCAAGGCGCTGTGGAGCATCGACCTGCTTGAAGGACTACGGGCTGTTTTGGGAAGCGGGGTCGGGCCATTGATTTAGTACATACATGAGTATACTCTTAAAATGGACGTCTTTGTTAGCTTTCATGCTGACACCGACGAAATCGCGGCGTTTTACCATTGCCGGTAGCTTCCTCGAGAAAAAACATCAGTTTGTTGTTCATATAACGATTTTGTGAGAGATTGCACTTTCACTTTTCTTCGCGGAACCCGATCGTTTCATCTCTCCAGAATTGGAATGGAAACGATTGCAGGTGACATTGATTATTTCATCATCTCGAGGATAAAGGACGTCCTACCTTGGTGACTATGCAGTTTGAAAAAAACCTACTGTGCAACTGAGTGGAGACAAGCGAAGTGGAATTAATAGTAATTTCCGCTTTAGAAGTTCCCAAATTTTGGCGCCTGTAATTTTGGGACACCCTGCGGGTTGAGGGCAAAATAAACAACACAATCTGAATAAAAGTATGAAAGAATAAAATCTTTTGACAATGATCGATCCCCTTTTGGGATGCGCCCCGCACTGGTCTCCTCTCCCAACTCGTAAGGCGTGTTGAATGGGTATGTGGCCAACACACTGACTGCGGTTCGTTAATCACGAACCCGAGGTCTCTTCTATACACCCTTTTAGCGAACATTCTTCCTCCACCTCTTCGTTATTCTGCCTACACACAGAAGAGGCGTAAAGAAAGTCCAGATCATAAGAAAAGGCAGACATTGATACGACGTATACTTTCGGAACTAGAAAAAGTAAACGAGGATGGCAAAAACCGCTTGGAAACCCTGCACTAGCGCATACAAAATGCATGAACCTGACCCATCAAAGGAGAAAACTGTTAAAAATTGCTAGATTTCCTTCAGTAGGGTGCATGTGTAGGTCAGTGCTTTTACCCTCTCAGATGAATGTAAAGGATATTAACGCCGCTTCCAGAAGGATAGAGGGCAAGTTTAGCCAGGCGAGCAGAGCATCAACCCGGGATTCTATCTCCGGACCATGCTGTCATGGTGCTTTACTTAAAAGACATCACGCCATATTTGCCTCTTATAAAACAATCAACAATTTCAGACAAATGACATAGTTGGTCAACATAAAAAGTAGCACGCTATTCGATGTAGGTGATGTTGAGCTGGATTGTTTCTTCTTGTTGCCCGGTCTCGCCGTTGAACACGAATATCATCACCTCAATGAGATATATTTAACGACTTACGCTCTGCACCTTCATCATTTTTCTCAAACTATAAACCACACCCTTCGAATGGAATTCGTAGGACCCTCCCCATGCGAAGCAACAAAGTTTTCCACTACTTAAAAGCTAGCAATGGGCTAAAAGCTCGATTTTTTAGCCCCTTGGGCCATCACAATGACAGATGTTTGCTCGTTTCTTCTGTACACATCCCCATTTTTGGGCAGGGATGATTAAGGGAATAGTACGTTTTCCAAGCTGTTCGAGCTTGGCTTGTCTGTGTTGTGGAAGTTGGGAATCAAAGTCGCCTTCTTTCTTTGCCTGATGGGTTTCTTGACATTTTGAGCCTTAAAAAGCTGTGGCAAGCTACCTCTAATCGGATGGGACTTCGAATGACGTTGTGGAAAAGAAGCGTCGTTGTCACTGAACCAAGGCCAGGGATCTGCAGCATTTCGTCGCCGACTTCGACAAGCTCCGAACGAGATGAAGTGAGGCGAAATGCACGTGGGATACTGTATGGATTCGTGATTGGTAACTTCTGAAGAAATATTATCTGAGAAGAACCACGATACGAGAAGTCGGGAGATATTTACTGCAGCGACTGCTACAGATAGACAATATCGAAAGTTGGCTCAATGAAATTGGAATACTGGTACGAAAGTTGGAAGCCATCCTCCGAGTCTTACTGTACTGTACTGTACTGTATTGTATACGAGATCAAAATATCCCTTACCTTGACGATAATGCTCTCTTCATTGATAGGTACTTTCATGTCGTATATTTTCGAAATATTGGGCTCCTCAGCTTTAGCGTACGCTATCCACGCATTCAGAAGTAGCTTAGAAGACACGTCTACAGCCGTTATAATGTGAATATTTCGCCCTGAAAAGAAGAGAAAGTAAGAGTAAAGACCGTACGTAAATAAGTGAGGTTAGTATGGGTGATATGTTTCTCTGTCAATGGGTGGGCCAAGATGGTATGAGTGGGTGGGCGGCGATGCGGGCAAGCCGAAACAGAGGTGGAATAAATGAGAGCAGCTCAATTTTTCCGTTAATTTCACCTTTGATATTTATCTGTTGCTACTTCAGAGTGGTCTATGAAAAACGCCATTACGTATGCTTCCTTCGAGGGATGTTGGCGATGACCTATTTATCTTAAAAGCTGAAACCACACTTCAATGATCGTCTGACGTTGAACTCTATCCGTTGATAGCTCGGGACCATTTATAGTCGGTTTGTCGCGACTCGCGTCATGTCTCAGTTGATTGTCGTAGACGGTTGTCTCGCTAAGCTTCTCGGGTATAACAGCTGTTCCACCATGGCATTTCCACTATCCATTGGCTTCTCATAATTGGATTAGCAAGCAAAGTTCCCTAAATTTTTGATCACCTCTACTCCTATTGTTTTCTACTCGTTTGACAATTCGGAGGCGAAGAGACCGGCTTTTCACCAAAAAAAAAGGAATACTTCCCAGGGTTGAGGCTTAAGTCAAATTGAAGGAATAGCCATCGTGGTTCAACGGATAAAGAACAGATAAGTGGTTGTTGATTGAGCGTTGGAAATGAAAAAGAATTACCTGAATAATTTGGTGTGTAAAGCATCATCAATTGTTGAATTTCTTTGGTAATCAGAAACGGCTGAGATGAAACAGATCGCAAGCAAGGAGAAGACGAGAATACTTGCACTAACTGGTTACTCGTTTCCAAACTGAAGACAATCACATTTATTAAAATTGAAATGTCACGAAGTGGTACATATTAATATTGTACTAGCCCTATTATGGCCGTTACTTTGGATTATGTGGGGAAAGAGGAAGTGAACCGCATGAATTTTACAGAGATTGCTGAACGGACATCGTACTTTCTTCACCAGCTCTCCACTGATTGATCACGACCCAGCTAACAACTTGGTAGAAAAATAGTGCCCTCAAAAATGACC